GCAAAGAGGACCCCTAAGAACTGCTCCTCTAGCTCTTCCACCACCAAAAGGACCCACCTGGTCCCTCGACCTCGGCGGGGTCTACCTTGACCTCTAGCTCTCTCGCTCTTAGTCCTCTTTTACCATCTCATCAAGGGTCATATTCAAAGATGTAGCCATTTAATCTTTGACTGAAGCACAATTCCCGCAAAATCCTTTTAACAAGACAATGAACAAGAACCTGCAGATCAAATATTGAATAGTAAAAGGAGTTAGTAATATCACCATCAGATATTACGGGCACTTGAACATCTACAACATATACGCAAAATAAAGCATAGCTACAATGGATCCGGATAACATGGTTCCTTTCAGGGGCCCAGTCCTCAGCCTTGGATTAATATTAGATCTGGACAGCAACCCCCCTAGTCTAAGCCAATATGAAATTGCACTTACTACAACGCTTAAGGAACCTACAAAAAATTATGTAAAGCACCAGCAATTGGAATTTTCAATTATTTGACGTCGGAGAAAAAAACCCTAGATCGGTTTTTCATTACAAGATTTTTCACAGACGTAGCTATTAATCCAAACAAAGAATCATTTAAACCAGCCTAATTGAAAAGCAATGGAAATATAATCAAGCCTCGCAGATTAAAAAATTTGTCAAAATACACTAAAAAAAGTCCAATTGATATACTTAACGAAACCAATTTATTAAAGACAACAAATATTGGATCAAGTATGCAATAAGAAGAATAAATGAATGAAATCCCCTACCAATGATAAAATCTTCCAGGAAAATAAAACCTCGATATTTTAAGGGAACCAAAACAAATCGACAAACCACCAAAAGGCTGAGATCTTTCACCAACAAATCTATAACTCGCTACCGCACACAAATCCTAACGGTGGCTACATATAGTTTCACATAAAAACGCAGGACAAGAGGTACCTATTGAAAGAAGTCGGAATCGCTGGGGCAGCGCAATGATATCACGATCGGAAATATTAGATTTGAGAGAGAGGATCGAGAGATTTATGAAGTTGTTATGGTTTTGAAGATCGAACAGGGAGCACTTATATGATGAGGCTCAAGGGTAACAAGGGGAGAGGCGTGATCTTTATGCAGGTGAGTTAGGGTTTTGATTCGGAGTTTCGAGTTGGCTTCCGAGGAAAAGTCGGTGCACAGGGACGAATTTCCTTTTCTGGTTTGGAGGAAGAATTGCCTTTATAGGAATCCAAGCACGCTAAACCGGTCTGATCCCGAGTCACCACTAACGGGATATCAGCCCGGTTTGGTTTATTCCCCGGTCCAATTTGGTTTATTATTTTAAAAAAAAATTATATAATTCATAAAATTATAAATTATACAACAATTTTTTATTTTTTAACAGTAATAATTTATTTATCTTACCATTTTATCATATAAAATATTTAAGAGAAATAGAGACAGGGCCTTTTGTTAGTAATAACATTCTTATTGTTATTTTATATAATTATAATTATATATATTTTTTCAAGCATAATATAATACATATAAAACTATCATCTAACATTTATTAAAAGTTTGAATTTAGTTTATATATGTTTTATACAATAAATTAAATTATTTATCTTATAAATTATTTAACTAAATTTACTAATTTAGTTAAAAATAAATTATCTTTTAACTTAATTACAACTATGAAATTATATACTTACTCTATTTTATTACAAAAATATATAATCATAGTAATCTATACATATGTGATTTGAAAGTTTTATATGTAAAGATATAAAATTTAAATGAAATTAATTTATAATTTAAATGCTGAAGCGGATAATAAAGGTAGATATTATATTTTTTACACAATAATTTATAATACTAAGTAAAATTATGGGAATGTCACTTTTAAAAAACAAACGGTAACTAAAAAAATTAATAAATAAGCATTATGAGACAAATTTCACTAGCACTTAAAGGAAGTCCGAGTGGTGAACTACTCAAAATCCTATTGCTGATCGGGATCTGTATCTTAGTCTTCTTGATCTAAAATAATTAATAAAATGATGAGTTATACTAGCCCAATAAGAATATTACACTAATTACAGATACAGAAAATCGAATGTTGGTAAAATAAGAAAACAACTAATTGAGCTACTACTTTAAGTAAATATATTTAACTTCAAAAATATTTATTCGATACATACCGTTATGTTTTCCCCAAAATCAACATATGAAAACAAATAATTAAATGACATTTTAATTTTATTCATAGGATCACAATTCTTCCTTTTTTTTTACTTACTTACTGATATCTCTATGGATCCATAGGGATGTTCCCCTACACGTGAATGTTACCTTAGTCAAACGGGTCTGAAAAGTCTTATACCGAAAGAGTTTAGAAGATATGATTCATCTTCATACTGGACAGGGTATCGAGGCAGTATAATATTTGACACTCATTACCCAGTAAGCCTTTCACATAAAGATCTTCATCAACAAAACAAACACCGACGCATGTAAATGTCTCATGTCATATTTATTGACCAATTTAAACGACATTTAAGTAAGCGATTTAATTTATCATAACTAATAACAAAGTAACCAGATAACAAGATAAATCATGCAGGAAGGGACCAGATGAACCAGCTAATCGAGAAGACTATAAAAACTATCAGTGTAGACGTGCACAGTATAATAGTAAGCAATTTAGGCAGTACAGAAAAATAAATAGAGAATCATAACAAATGTGAACTAACCGGTTATGTCTCTACTAGTGATTTGTAATATTTTTAATATTTTTTTAATTTTTCATAAAATACATAATTATCGATTATTAATCCTCAATTTACCGTAATCAAGAATATGGTGAGAAATTATTACATTGATTGATATTTCAAAATGTCGAACTGTCCACTACGTCTCTCAACAGGTTTCGAGTTTCCTGAATTTTTTTATGTTGGAATCTCAAATACTCGTCACATACCTAAATATACTCAAAATCCCCAAAATCGGTGTTCAAAAACCTTTTATGGCCAACTTCAAGATTTCAACATGACAGCGCTGCCGTGCTCCGGTGCTGGCTCCACCGGCCACAATGGTGGTTCACCTTAGTCTAGCTAGTTTTGACTAGTTTGGACCGGTTTTATATGTAACCAGCAAAAAAACACGCTAGGGGGCCTTAGTTGGCCGAAAATCACAGAAAAATTGAACCTACCAGCGAGGAGGGTTTTCTGGATGCAGCGGCTCTGCCGATTCTCCTTCGCAGCTACGGTTTCCTTCTTTAGCTAACCTGAACAGAAAATGATGGTGAACATAATGGTCAAAAAATTATGTAAAATGAAAAAGGAAAGGGGCTCATCGAATGGAGTTTTGAATTTCGACCGTAGCGGCTCCACCAGGCTTTGCTCACAGTTTTTGGCTTACTCATCATTCCTATTGCTCTGATTTGACCACAGGGAGGCTTAAAATTGAATTTCGAGCGGGTAAAGAAAAATTTTACATTTTCTGGTGGTCAGCGGTGGCTCTGGTGCGGCGATGGTTGGCGGTCGACCTCATTCTCTGGCGTCTGATTCTCTTCTCCGGCGGGGGCTAGCGGCTAGGGTTGGGGTTCCTCTGCGATGCGATGTTTATATACTCACCCCGCATCGATCTAAACCATCCATCTGTATCGACGTAGAGCAAGGAGAGTTGTCCGATCGTTGCCTGTTTAGGTCGATTGCATGGGTGAATCTGGACCGTTCATCGCAATTGATCTCATCTGTCCGATCGTGCTTAAAGAGGAAACGCATCTGAATCGTTCATGCGTGCGAGATCGAAGTTGGACCATTGGATCACTAGGCACGCAGATCGCCCGCGTGGCCTCCTGCATGACGCCGATGTTAGCGTACTTTTTCACGCAGCGTGCTCTAGTTCATCAATACTGCTGACTGGGTCATCCCACGTGGTCAAATTTTTCTTTTTTTATTTTGACCCCATATTTTTAATTTTTCTTTCAAAAACACCCCCTGAACTCAAATTTTTACCAATTTTCTCTAAAATAGCTTTTAATTACATTTCTAACCTATTTATTTTAAATAATTTAATAAAATTAAATTAAATTACTTTTTAGTTATTTTTATAAATGCCAAAATTAATCCCGAACTAAATTTCGAGCTCGGGTATTATAACCCTCCCCCTTAAGAAAAAATTTAGTCTCTCAAACTTGTCACTCTCTCACTTAGTCAAACAGTTGAGGATATTGGGCTCTGAAGTTCGATTTTATCTCCCATGTGATCTTTTTCTGTGTGTGATTCTGCCATAAGATCTTGACGAAGAAAATTTCTATGTTACAAAACACTGTGTTTTTTTA